CCCCAAAACCCCAAAACCCCAAAACCCCAAAACCCCATGATTCCTTAATACATTAAAAGGTTGCAATGAAAGTGATAATTAAGTATTTATCATAAAATGTTGAAATTAGGAAAGGCACTCTTTAGATATGGAATTTCATAAAAGAAGTCTCAGCTGGTCAATGTGGCAAGAATGGCAAATAAGAAAATGAGTGATCTTATCCCAATGAATTAAAAATTCTTTTCCTAAAGCACTCTAAAACTAGATAATCCCTACACTGGTGAGCAGATCCTTGAACTTCCTTTCCTTTCAAAAGAGGAGCAGCATGAAATATTAGTTAAAGCTAAGGATGCTTCTAAGAAGAACAGGCAGTCTAACCTCAGAGAAAGGAAAGATGTAGTGAGAAAAATTATTAAGTATCTTTAAGATGTAAGAATATCTATATTTTACATCTAATTGATAGAATAAAGAGACGATTGCAGTAGAAATTACTAGCTGCATGGGCAAGCCAGTTCTTTAATCTAGACAGGAGATTGATACTGCCATCGAAAGATGTAATGCTTTGATAGACATATCAGAAGAAGCCCTTGCTAAGGAGGTTATTGAATCAAATAAGTATGTGACAAAGTATGTAATAAAAGAGCCTGTAATACCTCTATTCATGAATTTAATGTTTAGTTAGGAACAGTCTTGATTCTATCGTCTTTTGACTTCCCTATTCTATCTGCTATCAATCACATGATTCCAGCCTTACTCTGTGGAAACTCTGTCCTAATCAAGGATAATCCCAGAACTCCAATTTGTACTATTTATTTCTAACTATATTATTAGTTGGCGAGCATTTCCAAAAAGCCTCTGAAAACAACTGGGTTCAGTCTTTCTTGGCTAATTAGTAAGATGTGAAGCTTTTATATTAAGAGCATGCAATAAACTATGTCGTTTTTATGGGGAGTCTCGAAAGTGCTCATGATGTCTATCAGGAAGTAGCAAAGAATGACTTTATTGATGTTTAACTAGATCTTGGTGGAAAAGAAGCTGCTTTCGTTTCTGATAATGCAGGTATTAATAAAAAACTGATTTCCTATAGATATGGAAAATGCTGCTGAAGTACTTCTAAGAGCTGCTTTTTATAATGCAGGATAGTCGAGGAATAGCATGCAAAGAATATATATTGAAAAGGCTATAAGCAATGACTTCATTAATTTATTCTCTAAGATGGCTTTTGAAAGACTTCAAATCGGTGATCCAATGGATGAATAGACAGATATTGGACCACTCGCTTAGCTTGATTACATTGAGAAAATGGAAGGTAAAAATAAATAAATAAAAACTAAATTGATAGAATTCGTTGCTGATGCTGTAAACATGGGAGGTGCTTTAGTTTTAGGGGGCAATTAGAATACAGATGATAAGGGCATGGGTAGATTCTTCGAGCCTACAATAATAGCTAATGCTACGAATGGAATGAAAGTTCAAGCTTAGCAGATTTTCGGACCAATAGTGACATTCTAAGAAGTGGAGAGTGATGTGCAAGCTAAGGATTTGATAAATGCTTCCAAGTATGGAGTGACGAGTGCTATCTTTACTTCAGATGAAATATGTATGGACTATTTCATCGGAAACCTTAAGGTTGGAGTTGTCAATATCAATAAATGCCCCGTGATGCAAGATCACTACCTGCCAGTCACAGGTCGGAAGGTCTGTGGAAAGATCCTTTACAACTCTAAATATGCTTTTGACAACTTCACCAGGCTAAAGTCTGTCAATATTAGACTTAATTGAATAAACCGGCAATAAATTATTATTCATTGGATTATTTGAATTTCATTAAGTCCACAGACTAAAACATGAATTCGACTTTTGGGGTTTTGGGGTTTTGGGGTTTTGGGG